AAGGGGGGCACTGGGGCAAGGGGGTGGTGGGAAGGACAGACCAGGGGACAGACAGGTGAGGGGAGGAGGGAAGCACAGCGATGGTGACAGCGATGGATCCATCTGAGGGCACGGAAGGCTCCAGAAAGGGGTCCTGACCCAGACCCAGCACATGCACTCGCCCCCATCCATGGCGCTGTATGGAGGGGAAGTGTTGAGCTGCTTCCTTAGACCCTTACGAGGACCCACGGCCTTAAGGTGTTTGGGTGGGCAGAGTACCCGGTGCCACCGTCCTGCACCGAGCGCGCTGCTGGCAGCCCCTTCTCTGCCTACACACAGGTCACACCGCAGCCCCGACGAGTCTCTGGGGCTGCCTTGCTGAAAAGAATAATTGTCGTGCTCAGTTTGGCTTGGCAATGCTGACCAGAAAACTAAATCTCTCTAAAAATCCAAGTTCTAGGACACAAAACCCTCGTGTGTTCACAAAACGAAGGGATGAGTACCATGCAATCTGACCATGGATGGAGACAATAACACAACAATGAACCTTTCCAGCCTTGGGGGGGATAATTTATCTATCTTCTCTACAGCCTATTTAATTTACATGCTTGGTTTTATAGGGAGATGTTCCTCATAATCCAGCACGGACATGTGCTAAAAACCTCACGTTATTTTTATAATAGTATTTTTTAAATTAAGATTCTCCCCAGTGGGACTATGCACAGTAGTAAAGTTAAACACCCACATAAGTGATAGCAGGATCAAAGACCATGAATCACATAGGTTTCCTTGCAAGCACATTTAGTAGGATGAATAATTTTATATGTACTTCATCCTAAAAGAAAAATCAATAAAGACACACCGCTTCAAAGAAATAAAAATCTAACAGTAAGAAAGGGCAGAGATCACCCATAAAAAGCAGTCTGTACAGTGACAATGAAGAAACAAAAAAGTTAATGGTTATGTTGGGCAGATGGAAAATGCTAACTGCTAAGCCAAATTAAATAAGATCTGGAAAACCAGTTGCACCATCTCTTGCAATTTAATTTATTCCTCTTTAAATAGAAGGCAAGATAATGATCATTTGGGAGAGCTTGGAATCTAAAAATTCATTGGTATGCCCACTCCGAGTGTTCTCTCTCTATTTTAATGGTGACCCCACCAAAAATGTTAATCCTGAAAAAAAAAAAAAACAAACCACCACAATACATGGCTGTATCCAGGCACAGATTTTCTCAGCAGAGCTGGAGAAGACAGGAGGAGAGGGGGAGAGTGCCAACTTCTTGCAACCCTAAAGGGCCACATCTTGCCTCTATGGTTGCTGTTGACAGCCTCCACGCCTAATACATTTGTGTTGTCCTCTGCTGAGGCTGCCAACACAGTATTAATTTTTGGACGTGCAGCAGCATCACTCTGGAAGTAAGGCCAAACCCGCTAGAGTGTATTACAAAAACTAACCAACTTTGAACCCAGCACCTGCCTCTGATGGGAACCACAGGCTTCAGTGAAAACCTCCAGATTCCATTATCAGAGAGCTGCTCATCATTCAAAACATTATAGCTCGGGTTGAAAACAAATTATTCTGTTACAAACAATCTGAGCTGCAAGGAACCATATAGAAGTACAACCCCCACACCTCCGAGACACAGAGCGAGTAGCAGGCGGCAGAGCCTGTATCATTATTCCAAATAAGACATGTAAAGCCTGCGTTTATTTCTTGTTTACATCAGTAAATACCAGGTTTCACGGTGGCACAAGGTACGTTGCGGGAATCTCAACTAACAGTAAATTAATCTGGTTGTGGAGGAAGGGCAATCACAGGATACATTGAATTAGCACATCCTTTGCCTACAGAGATTTCTAAGAAGTCGTGACACAGAAGCAAAAACAAGTCTCCTGAGATGGATCTCACAAGGAAAAACGATGGTAAGAACAGCATCCTGATTCTGCTTACCCACCTCCTGCTGCCGGCACACCCTGAATAAATTCAGTTCAGAGATTAAAAAATTCCAGGAAGTTATTAGCACTTTTAGAGAGATATTTGTAGGGCTTTAATTAAAAATGTATTTCATTGATATTTGTCATATATCCGGAAGATCTCTTTTTAAAGATTTCTTTTTCAAATAAACCCCAGTGATGTCTTCTCCTGTGCTTTTGTACTCTCTCAAGCAGATTTGCTATAAACAAACTGTGTTATGGTGCAGTCCCGTGCTACAAGATGGTGCGAAGGTGAGACGAGTCGCTTAAAGCTCACCACCATAGAAGGGGCTTCTGGCTCCAGTCCTTACACCTTCTCCCAGCCACATCCTCCTTTTGCTTGCAGAGTTCTTTGGGTAAGCACATAATCTTCTGCTAAGGCCTTATAAAGCAGGACTGTGTGGCCAAGGGCAGGAGTCAGCAGTAGATTGGCCCAGCTGATTTCAGGAGGGTAACAGCTGACATTTTCCCAGGTATCAACTGGGAGGGGAAAAAAAAAAACCAACACGTGGAGTGGGAAATACTGTTCTGCCCCATTCTGTGTGCTCCTCCCACTGCTTGCCTGCACCCAGTTTCAGGCACCTGAACCTCTTTGCCACAGCAAAGACCCAAGTCATTCGATGCTGGGGCTAATTAGAGCTGAAGAAGGCACGTTATAGCCAGAAGAAAGAATGAATACTTCATAACTCTGTCCATGGTTTTACTTGAGATTTAAATCCCTACTCCTATAATCCTTGCTGATCCCAAAATCTTGATAGCAATGGGTACGTTACATGTGCTTGAAACATTATTTGCCTGTACCAGGAGCTTTTCCCATAGCCCCCACGGGGAATCCCCGTGATATAAAGCCACGGCGGTTCCAAGGGGCAAACTGCCTCTTAAAACCATCAGGACCATCCTTTCTCCCACTGGCAGTTGTGTACCATCACTGTGGCAACCGCAATGCCTGCGTACATGAGAAATATTAGGAAAGCATTAGGCTTATTTTAGCTATATTCTAATGCAATGTAGCACCTGGAAGGGAGGAAGGGAACAAGCACCACACAAGCAGGCATATTGCATTTCCACCCTGGAAGTGTTCCACAGCTATTTCCGAGGCGATAGGCACGACACTTTAGGAAACATCTAATAGATACCCGGGTTGTGTTCGTTCGGTGCTTCTGATAAGAAAATGAACTGCGTGAAATGTTGGGTTGGACCTCTCTCCAGCCAAAGCTCCTCTTCTTCGCTCCAAGGCAGAGCTAGTTGGAGCCTAAACCTTCACGGACCTGAGGGATGGCTCGAGCACAAGCCTTGGCTGCTGTGCCCAGCTGCTGCCCTGCTGCCTTGCAGGCTGAGCCAACAGCCATGAAATGTAATTTCTCTACCAAACGCTGGTGTCACGATCACTTGCTCTTGAAACACTGCCCGGGACTTCAGAAGCATATTAAGTAACACAAGAGCTGCTCCTGAGAGGTTCCCAGGAAGATAAACTGATCAAGTGAGAGCCGGAGCAGAGGTGAGGATGAAGGGATTTGATTTGATATTTGCTTCCAGAGGCTTAAATAAATGTTTTTTAAAACCTAAAATATGATATTGAAGGGTTGAATCCCAATGCTTTTGGCAAAAGCTCCCTCATCTAGGAATGATTTCATATCAGCCAAGCTGTTAAGCGGAGGTTGTCATGGAAACAAGTTATATTCAAATGATATGGCCAGAGATATACTGTATTTAGTGAGTTCTTCGTTTGCTGCATATTGGGAGGATGTCAGAACTAAATGATATTGCATAACTTTGTTTTGTTAAAAACAAACTGGCTCACTGCCCCTATTTTTCTCACAGGCTGGTGTCCAGTCCTCCCTGGGACGGGAAAGTTTCCTGCGCAGTGCTGAGCAGTGCCGCACGGGAGAGGCTCCTCGCACAGCTGGTTCCTGCAAGCTCCTGTTCATGGAAGTCTTCCTTCAAATGCATGAACCTACCGAAGTCAAACAAGGTATGCAAGGCCAGGGAGAGCCAGGAGGTATTACTGCAGCATGCTGTTTGAAGTTTACTCCAGTGGGACCCGCTTGGTTGGCTGGAATAGAGTGCTCCAGGAGTAGCCCCCGAGGTATCTGCTATTGATAAGCCATTTTTGAGTCAGTCTTTGGAGCATCTGAAAGCAGAGGAACCTTTCCTTAGCTTGTACAATTGACATAACCATTCATTGGTCCAACAAAGAAGTGCAGTTCAATTAGATCCTTTCCTTCCTTGCTAAAAAAGTTCCTACATATGCGTTGTGCAAGTCTAAAAAAAAAATCTATACAATTACTTAAAAGTAATGTTCATGTGTTCGTGGGCATCTCCTAAGTGTCCATGACCTCCTTGTAAACATAGGACTCCTATTAATTTACTGTCTCTAAGAGATGCTGGAACAAATCTCAGAGAGGATGATGTGCATACTGCACTTATACATCTGCTCTTTTAGCTGTGAAGCTGTTAAAAAGTGCCAGAATTTTGTTCCACATGCTAGGCGTAAATGCACGTTCTTTATATATAAAAAAAAAAAAATAAAAAAGGAATGGTTCTTGCTCAAGTTTTCAACCAAAATCAAATCACCTTTGGCCAGGACACTCTGTGGAAACTTCAGCCTGAAAAGCGCAAACACAAATGAAAGCCAAAATTGGCTCCAAAATCACTATCATGGGAACCGCTGTGCAGCTTTTACGGAGCAGCATCCAAAGGAAAGTGTTTTAAACAGTCTCCCAAGGGAGCAAGATTCCTGATTGCTCAATAGAAGCATCAAGTACAAGTCAAACAAAAGTAAAACCTTACCCTTAAAGTTGTTACAGAACAGAAGACACTGTAAAACGCGTCATGGGAAGGTGATGGCATCTCACAGCCTCTGTCCAGAGGCCTGTGAAAACGGAACGGGAGCTTGCTCGCTTCTGGGGCAGGTAATCCTAAATTTCTCCAAGCCTTCTCTCTGTTACAGTTTACAAAGGAAAAAACAGGGCCAAATAGCGCCTCTGGTACATGAAAAAGCAAATCACAGGACGGTCTTCTGCCAGATGTGAACATGAAGAAGGCAGTACCAGTCCTCTACCTACCTCAGACTGGTGTGCTAGCTGGAAAGACCTCAGTGTTTCCAGGCTCCTTGGTGCATTGCAGAATCACAGCTCCCTTTGGTTACCATCGCTGGGAAGGAAGGCTGAGCCTCATCCGAAGCCCTTTACAGTTAGGTAAAGGCAGGTATTGACTTCAATATGCTTTGGATTAGACCTTTATTCTTTACCTAGCCATCTTCGGAGAGCTGAACTGGCTAGACTCAGCATCCAATCCATCCATCGGGTATTAGGAGACTTGAATTTTTTCCTTGGGTTTGGGTACTAGGCTTCTGCTTTCATCCCTCCCCCTTCCCACTCCCCCGACACCAGTAAGGCACTGGAGCTATCTTAGGTGCTAGAGATGCCCAGCAAAGGTGAGGTCAGCAGCATAAATGCAAGAAACCTGACAGACCTCAAATCTAAGTTATATGTTGCAAACAAACTCCAAACAGCTTTCTTTTCCTTATTTCTTAGTAAAATATCTGCAGGGTGTTTCATCCCAAAATAGCATCAACCACAATGCTATTCGGTGTTACATTAAATGAAAAAGAATGTTGTTGGCACCACATCTGGCATTGGCTTTGATGTGAAACAGGAGATTAATACTGATCTTTTTTTTTTTTTTTACAGGCATCCCAGTATACAGCTGAAGGAAACAATGTGCAAGAGCCACATCCTACACACTGAGCAAACCACGTTAGCCTGTACTGCAGAGTAAGCCTGGGATGCAAAGCCTCATCTACTGCTGATATTGTAAAAAATATATAAATTCTAAAATATAAAAAACACAGAAAATAATATTTTCATGGGTTTTATGCTCATCTCTTAAAAATTATAAGCTCAATGCTGCTCTACAGTTCAGCTCATTGTAGTAATTCAACGTTCTGCATCACACTCTCAACAAATTTGGTACCCATCCAAGCCAGTAAAGCCAAGGGCCCCTCTGGAAATAAACCACTAGAGGGAGACTGACTTCAGCAATGCAACACCCACAGGGAGAAAATCCTGTGCATCATTTAATAAAACCAAGATGCAGATAAAAGGTGATCCCTATAGCTCAGGCCAAAATTACTCTTTGTGTTTCTTCTTCACAAGCAAAAGTGACTGAAACTAACGGGTCAAGTTTGGCTTTGTTACTGTAAATTGAGGGAGCATCGTGTAAATGGGATCAGGCAGTCACGTATTCTTCCGCTGTTTCTAAGAGAGGTTAGGCTGACTCTATTCAAAAAAAAAAAAAAACCACACTAAAAAAATACCCCAGCCACTGAAAATACTAATAGCTGTATCCTAGCAACATCACGGATTCCATGTGGACTTTGTTCTGGAGCCTATAGTCTTATTTCATCAAAATTATTGACTTTCTCAAAGTCTCTAAACGACCATCAAAACCCAGTTAGTGCTTAAAAAATACAAACATTTAATTAGTCACATTAATAAGAAAAAAAGAAAAGCAGCATTGCATGCTAGCGCTCCCTTTTCACGGAGCTCAGTTTAGCTCCCTTTGAAATCAATGTCAAAAAATTCCCCCTTGGTTTATTGGTAGCAGAGCTGGGTCCCTCCTTCGAGAAGAAAAGCTGGAAATGGCCCTACGGAACGTGGCAGGTGAGGTTTGCTTCCCAGGCTGGGCTCACACCTTGCCTGGATGAAATTCATACAGCTCTCCACGATCCTCCCAGTCATCATGTCCTTATTGTAAAGGTAATTTAATTGGCATTCAAACGATATACAGAGGCTTCCTACAAGGCTTTTGTACTATGCACATAAACAATGTCTTTTTTTTTCCCCCCTAAGCTTTGTTTTTATTTAGCCACAACAATTCCCTTCAACACCACAAAGAATGTGAAATCCTGTTGGATCTTCCCAAAAGCACCACACCCTCCTCCTCTCAGGTATGAAGACTTCAGGTTTAACACAGCTCTGGGAGGTTTTCCCTCATCCGCCCTCCATCACCGAGGTGAACTTTATTAGATAAAATACAAGAGCAAAGGCCAAATAAATAAAAAATGAAACCACCCAATCCTCCCAAAGAAAAACCCTTCGCACAAAAAGAACAACCAAGAAAAAAACCAAACCAACCCCAAACAAACAGGCTGTTTGTTATCCTTAGCAGCTTGCGTGATGATCAGAGCAATCCTGGGGCATTTTGGCATCTAACTGGGGGTTTGGGTACGCTCAGATTTTGGTCAAAAT